ACTCTCTCTCCCTCTATCTATATATCTATCTATCTCTCTCACTCTCTCTCTCTCCCTCTCCCTCCCTCTCTCTCTCTCTCTCTCTCTCTCTCTCTCTCTTTCTTTCTTTTTCTCTCTCTCTCTCTCAAGAGTGACATGACACCCGTACACGAAGCCCTGGAAGTTCAAGTTCACCAAACTAAAGTCGAAAAGTCAAGCTATGGCAAGAAAGACGTCGCGTTAGACAGTGAAACGACAAACATAATATAACATGACGATCAGCCTTCATCGACGACTGGTCTTGTTACTTCAAACAAACATTGAAAAAGGGGTGTGGTCGTTGCATATCTGCTAGAATTGTGAGCTCTTTTCAATATTATCACGTCACTTCACATCAATGCATTCGACTACGATGACACAACTAAAAAAAATTACCTTTTTTAACCTGCAGGCTGAAGACTGTTAGCTTACTGAATGCACATTGCATAAGATAGACAAGAAGACAGGCAACAAGTTTGCACACATGTCACGGCATAAATCCAAATACGTGTCTTCGGGGGGGAAAGGTATACGATCACCAACTCTGATCAAAGCAACAATGAAATGGATATTATACACTTGGTGGATGACAGGCCTTTACGTGAAGTAACCAAAACTACATATACAAATCTGGTATCGTACTACGGCCAAAATACACGTCAACATGTCTTATAATAGAGGATTCCAAATATGGTCTAGCGCGGGGGGGGGGGTAGATTTCATAATTTTTTAAGTTTGAGTTTGGATTGAACAGAAGCCAATGAGGGCTATATTATCTAGAATGCACTGACAGAAGCACATTGACAAGTGAGTGGTTGACCGGTGCTCTGGTATGGTTTGCTCCTTCTTTCCTATCAAACATCTATCGTCCTTATCGCTCCTCCTCCATTTATGTGTTTGTTACTCTCTCGTAACACCTCTAATCTAATCTTCATTCGGCACTTATGTTTTGACTATACTGTGTTGCAAGTGCTGTAAAACTTGTACTACCACTAAATTACTAAAACTAATACTAAAGCACATCGACACAATCATTACAGTAAATAAGTACAGGCCAAATTCGGCAAAAGTCAATTTGAGCCCTCTTTTTGGAACTTACTTGACCTGATCCACACATCCAGGATCTCCACTTTCTGGGGAGCCTGACTCGAGTCTTTTAAGAATAAGTGACATTTGACACGACCCACCTTTTTTCTCTCTATTCCCTTACCGGAGGGGGGGGGGGTTCTTTTCTTTTCTTTGGTTTTTATATAGATGTAACATCCTGTTTACTGTTAACATTGTAAGATCATTTAAGAAGAGAGGCCTCCGAATTTAACGTCTGTCTTCGACAGAAAAAGGCTAAATGGGTAAATAGCCTTAAACCCCCC